AATTGACCTTTTTCATGTGATTTATAGTGTCTTGTATAAGATAGACCCCGTACTCTCTTTTTTGCTTGTTTGGGTTTTTTGTTTGTTTCTTTTTAAAATTTAAATTTCATTTATTATTTTAATTTTATGTGTATGCGTGTATTGCCTGCATGGGGGTAAGTGCACCCATGTCATGCAATGCCCATAGAGGACAGAAGAGGCTGTTGGATCCCCTGGAACTGGAGTTATGGACACTTGTTAGCTGCCATGTGGGTGCTGAAATTCAAACCCGGGTCTTCTGCAAGAACAGTGTTCTTAACTGATGAGCCATCTCTCCAGCTCCAAATTGGATGAGTTTTAGCAAATGTATACAATTCTGTATCCATTGTCACCACCATGTACAGAATATTTCCATGACCCCCAAAAGTTTATGTTCCTTTGTAGTCAGTGTCCTGTGACTACACTGGCAACCACTGGTGGGTCTTCTATCAGTGCTGTTTCGACTTTTGTAGAATGTCATATAAGCAAAATCACACAGTGAGAGCCTTTTGTGTCTGGCTTATTTAAATATAATACTTCTGAGGTATAGCTGTGTTCACTGCATTTTTATTACACTGCTTTTATTTTGGAGTGTCCTTTTGTAAGGACACAGCATAATTTTGTATTCACTAACCACTTAAGAGACTTAAATTGTTTCTGCTCTTTGGCCATTAAGAACAAAGCTGTGAGCATTCACACAAGTCCTGTGTGGACATGATTTCATTTCTCTGAATAAATACTGAGGCTCTTTGAGAAGCTGGTAGCTGTGTTAAGCACATGCCTGACTTTTAAAGAAACCGTTCTCCAGCATTTAATAGTTTCTGAGACTCCATATCCGTCCTGGTTTTAGTATTATATGTTTGCAATTCTAACCACTCTAGACACAGCTGGTGGTAGTTTTAATTTGCATTTCCCTGATGAATAACAAAAACCACATATTTTCATATGCAAATTATTTTCTGTAGTTTAAAAACAAAATAAAACTGATGAAAATGTAGTGCACCAGCACCAGCCCCTCTGGCACACCCGCAGAGGGTCCTGCACATGTACAAGAGGATACCACAGAAGTATGGCATCCTGGCTGCACGCTCCTTCGATGCCCCAAACTAACAGAGAGGGTAAAAATGAGGGTCCAGAGAAACACCAGCAAGCAGACCGCAGAGCCATTTTTTCTAACTCATTTCCCAAAGGGAAAAACGTATTAGCTGCCTTCTGTCTCCAGTCCCATCTACTACCATTTGTTGCTTTGAGCTGCTGACCCCAACTTCCTTCCAAGAAGTTCATCTGAATTTTTCCTTGGGGAAAGATCTTACTTGGATAAGGTCTGGTGGGTCTGCAAGCAGGGTCCCACCTTCCCTGTCAAGGTGCCCAAGCCACCCAAATTCAGTACTCCTTCCTTCACTTCCAGGAGGAAGGAGGATGGGCAGCACCCATTTCACCAATCAGTACCAATACTCGCAGCGGCACTTGGTTCCTGGGCTGGTCTGGAGCTGCTGTCTGCTGTCTGTTCCAAGCCTGTTCTGGGCTCTGCTCCTCTCATTCATTGTAACATTTTTCTAATAAAGTCTCTTCTGCTTAAGTGAATGAGAATTGAGTTCTGCTAATTATAACAAAGAACCTAAATAGACAGGACACAGTCATGGGACAACAGTCACCTGCAATTTATGATCGAACAAGTAGTGGGAAGGTTGAAAAGAGAAACTTAAAATTCATCATCACAGTGCAATTTTAACAAAGGATGTTGCACTCTAGTCAGTCCTAGACTCTGTCATCAGAAGGGGAGCCAGTGAGGCTTTGTATTTCTTCTCATAGACTGGGGAAGAAGTGTCTGATGGGCTGAATGAAAACTCTTAGGACGAACATTTTCCCTTGCTACTTCCACGGGAGATACTCCGGGGCTTACATTTTTACTACTGAAAGGAACAGGAACCAGGCAAAGTCTAATGGTTCAATATTTATTTAAGCAAAAGTTCAAATAATTTGATAAACCATATTTTTAATTAATGAGGATTTGTTTCCGAAGATAATTCTCACTGTGTAGTCTTGTCAACAGAGGAGTACAAGATTTTCCCACACAGTCCACTCACAGGCACCTGTTTCCACAACAGAAGCTAAAGACTTGGGGTGAAGCTCAGTCTGATTAGGCTTGTCTGAGTCCCTCCATTCCATCCCCAGCAGAACACATAAAACATACATGTACATAAACACAAACACACACACACACACACACACACACACACACGTCTTGGAAACTTCCCTTTACAAATTCCCAAGTTTTTCTTTAATCAGGGTATACCATAAATTCATAGAATAATGATTTCCCATCAATATCCTGGTCTTTATGAATAGAGAAAATGACATAAAATATGTGAATTCTTGGCTGGAGAGATGGCTCAGTGGTTAAGAGCACTGACTGCTCTTGCAGAGGACCCGGGTTTGATTCCCAGCACCCACATGGCGGCTAACCTTCTGTAACTCCAGTTCCAGGAGAATTCAACCCCTTCTGAGCTCCTTGGGCACTGCACGACATGAGTGTACTTATATACATGCAGGCGATACACTCCTAC